GAGATGGATTGATACAGTGGCTGCGATGATGGGCTCAAGTATAGCAGGGATTGTGGGGCTGGTGCGGGATCGGGCAGTGTTTCGTTCTGCTGTGTATGGGGTCGCTATGAGTCGGAAACGACTCGACGGCACTTAACAACAACAACAGGTCAGTGCTTGGCACATGGTAGGGGCTTACAAACCAGGCTCGATTGCCTGCCTCTTGAGCAGCCACCACACATCTATAAGTGGAGGCTTGGTGTACCTATGATGCTGGCTTCCAGTGGAGCTTCCAAAAGACTAGGAAGAAACAGACTAGGAAGAAAGACCTGGCATTTTACTTCTGAAAAATCAGCCAATTAAAAACCCTATGGATCACAGTAGGAGCTCTGGTGGCATAGTGCCTAAGGCATTTGACTGCTAACCAGAGAGCTGGCAGTTCGAACCCACCAGCCACTCCTCGGAAGGAAGATTGGGCAATCTACTTCTGTAGTGATACCATCTTAGAAACCCAAGGAGGGGTCGCTGAGTCAGATCTGGATCACGATGGTCTGCTCAGCAGCTAATCATGGGGATGGCACAGGACTGGGTGGCATTTCATTTGGTTGTATGTGGGGTTACCCTGAGTCAGGGGCTAACTCGTGGGAGCTAGCAACACTAAGAACAACCACCAAATATTTACTCAATAAATAAATGAATGAATGACATCACTGAGCAAAAGTGATGTCAGCTGGGCTCACTGACCCCATTAATTATTCTCGGGATTGAAATCTTTTTGATATTATTTTATTTGAATTTCAATTGCCTATTTTTGGAAATGCAGGTATGTTATGGGGGCATATATTTAACACAATATGAATACATCCAGCCATTTCACTATAATACTCAATTTTAAATATAAAACTAACTGGTCTTTGTCCATTTCACTTTTTTCCTTTTTTTTTTTTTTTTTAATTGTGGTTTGGTTGAGAGTTTACAGAGCAAATTAGTTTTCCATTCAACAATTTATACAGTATTCGTTCTGTGACATTAGTTGCAGTCCCCTCAATGTAACTCGATCATTTAGCTTTCCCTGTCCCTCCCTAGAACAGATCTTCAGCTCAACGTCTCTTTCTTCCTTAGGCTCTGACCATCTCCGTGAGAAGGACGGGCTCTGGGCTGTCTTGGTCTGGCTCTCCATCCTTGCTGCCCGGAAGCAGAGCGTGGAGGATATTGTCCGAGATCACTGGGCCAAATTTGGCCGCCACTATTATTGCAGGTGAGAAGGGTGAGGGTCTCCGTTTAGACCCTGGTGAATGATGTTTAAAGCAAGTTTCTCAAACTGGTGGGTTAGACCTGTGCGAGGGAGCCAGTGGTGGTTCGCTGGTAGAATTCTTGCCTTCCCTGCTGGAGACTCAAGTTTGATTCTTGGATAATGGGCCTCATGCATGGCCACCACCACCTGTCAGTGGAGGCTTGTGTGTTGCTATGATGCCGAACAGGTTTCAGTGGAGTTTGTAGACTAAAATGGACTAGAAAGAAAGGCCTGGGGATCTAAAGATCAGCCAATGAAAATCCCATGGGTCATGGTGGACCAACCTGCAGCTGATCATGGAGGTGGTGCAGGACTAGGCAGTGTTTGGTTCCATTGTTCATGGGGTCACCTTGAATCAGAGGCTGACTCGACAGCAACCAAAAACAGCAAGAATGTGAAGAAGGAGGCATGCTTTGGGAAGATTTGAGGGACATAGAGGCTGAGCTGGGTAACCCCTCATAGGTGGTGTCAAGGGAGTTGTCCAGGGCTCCTAAGCTGGGCACGTTTTCCCTCATATGGTGACATCCCACTATGATCCTTTTATCAGTGCTGTGAGGTGGGCACTGTCCCAAGGCTTCAAAAGTCCTTCAGGAAACATGCTGGCTCAAAAGGACACGCAGCCACCAAAGCCTTTCCTGCCTTGTGCTCGCTCACCTGTCATGATCAAGGAAGGGGCAGGAACAGACTGGCAGGCCAGGTGCACTTGTAACCCTCTCCCTACCTTCTTACCTCCCCATCACTGGTCTGAACCGTCTCCATGACACTGAAACTGATGATCTGTAAAGGAACCACATGATTCAGAACCCCCATTTTTGCTAAAGGTTATATCCCCAGAAAAGAGGTACTAAAAAAGGAAATGATGCCCTGAAGGGAGTACAGGGAGTGACCACCAAGTAGGAATGTAGGGGCAGGGTCCCCATCACTTTCCTATTGTCGAAGTGAGTGAGGGCACCAAGTCGGCTGGCTACACAATTGCCTGGTGGGTGTGTGTACCAAGGTGTAGTGGGTGTGTCCAAAGTGTGTATACCAAGATGTCTGGGTGTGCGTATCAAAGTGTGCAGGGTGTACATACCAAGGTGTGCTAGGTATGTGTACCTAGCATTAAAGCCCTGGCTTTGTGGGTGAGGAGTCAGGAAAGATGCGGAGATAAGGGCGGGTGAAGGAATCCTTGAATGGTCTCGTGGGTTCTCTTTGTATTAAAAACAGGGAGACTGTGGCTCGTTTTAGGGAGCATTGGTGGCACAGTGGTTGAAGTGCTCGGCTGCTAACTGAAAGGTCAGTGATCAAACCCACTAGTTGCTCCATGGGAGAAAAATGTAGCAGTCTACTTCCATAAAGATTTATAGCCTTGGAAACCCTATGGGGCAGTTCTACTCTGTCCTCTAGGGTTGCTATGAGTTGGAATCGTGTCGGCAGCAGTGAATTTGGTTTTGGTTTGGTGTCTCATTTTGCTTTGCTTATGAATTGTTAACTACTTGGAATGTTTGGTTGTGTTTCAAGAGCTTGGTCAGGGAGCAGGGGAGGGAAAGGAAGCTTTAGACTTCCCTTATAAGGGGATTATTTCTTGCCTTAAGAACAAGGCCTCAAACCGGTTCATTCAGATTTGATTCCCTGCTTATAATTTGCATTTCCACCCCAGAAGTACTGAATCACAATTTACATTTTAACTAGATCTCCCTACATTTTAAGAATCCCCTGGGAATCTATGAGAATCACTTGGGGATCTGGTTAAAATGTGGATTCTGATTCAGTCTATCTGGGATGGAAATGAAAATTCTCAGCAAGAGGTCAAACAAGAATGAACTGGTTTGAAGCCCTGCTTCAGAGGTCATTTCCTAGATTAGCATCAATGAAGCTGTCACGTTAAGTCAGAGACTGCAGCACTCTGGGAAATGCACACGACACCATCATAGTTTTGGTTCCTGTCTAGTCGGGAAGGCTGGAGGTGTGAGATCTTGCAAATCACCTCCTATTTTTCATCTTATCATGAAATAAAGACTCTCTGGCAGGTGGAAACTTGTTTCACTCATTAGTATTTCTAACAAGCACCAAACACCTCTGATTCTCATGGACCTTTTTTGGCATATCAGATCCTTCTATTGCACAAAGCTCTTCCAAAAACTACAACCTGATAAAACACATTGTCATTGCCAGCTGCTGGTTCACAAGAGCCCTTTGAGTCAGGGAGGGATGTGTTCCCTATAACATGTGGAATGATTACCTAGGTTTCTGCCAGTGTTTTGAAGAAAGAGTGTTATGATAAGTGTATTTATAATAGAGTTCTTTTTTTTTTTTCCAAGCCAAGAGCTTACACGATAATTGTTTTTCTTCCAAAACAAATTCCATATTAGAGAATAATATGTGATAGAGATTTAAGTTCTTGTCTCACTCACTGCCGTCGAGTCAGACCCAACTCATAGTGACCCCTCCTTGGGTTTCCAGGGCAGTATCTCTGCGGAAGTAGATTGCCCAGTCTTCCTTCCGAGGAGTGGCTGGTGGGTTTGAACCACCAGCCTTCTGGTTAGCAGTCGAATGCCTTAGGCACTGCGCCACCAGTGTAGGACATGAAATTACTCTTTGAGTTTTTGCTTTCTTTCATTCCTTGGGCCTTCAGCAAACAGCAAGTTGACTGTGAAATAGCATGATTTTGGACAGTTTTTCTTGATGGAAAGGGATAATAAAAACAGTTGCAATGTACCTGATTCTAAGACGGAAGTTCTATCTGTTTTCCTCCCATGAGTAGACCCAGAGAGGGATTCTCCATTGGAAGGCTTGTTCCCTGGAAGGTGAGGTAGGGTGATGGCTAGAGGGTGAATTTGAGGGGTGAGTTTGGCAAGATGGGGGGGGGGACCCGAGTGTATCTGAAGATGACCACTGGGGCAGGGAGGTCCCCTGACCTCACCTGGAGACTGGATGTGATTTCATTGCATTTGGTGTTCTCTCAACTCTTGAGCCTCTCTATCTGCTAGCAAGTTCCCTTCTCTGGTCCCCCTGACCCTTTCTGGGAAATCACTTTCCTCGGATGACTATCTTTAAAGAGAATCTGGAGTCCCTGATGGCACAAATGATTAAGTGCTTGACTACTCATTGAAAGGCTGGTGGTTCAGACCCACCCAGAGGCTCCTCAGGAGACAGGCCTGGTGGTATGCTTCTGAAAGGTCACAGCCTTGAAAACCCTATGGAGCAGGTCTACTCTGCACAATGGGATCTCAGGAGGACTCAGGAGTTAGAGTGGACTCTGCAGCAACAAAAACAAAAATAATCTAATCTAATCTCAGTACCTGCTGAGAAAGAATGTTCTGAGGGAGTTCCCTGTTGTTTTGTTTCTGAAGCTGGAGAGGAGACACCTTGTGTTGGAGGAGGAGAATGAAAGAAAGCATATAGATGCAGGGGATCCATTGCCAAGACATGCTATCATTCCATGTCCCTATTTTGTCTAATTGTTGTTGTTAGCTGCCATTGAATGGGCTCCAATTTGTGGTGACCCCATATACAATAGAACAAAATGTTGTTTGGCCCTATATCATCTTCACAATTGTTAGTAGGCGTCAGTCCGTTGTTGCCACCACTGTGTGTTTTGAGTGCCTTCTCGCCTGGGTTGCTTATCATCCAGCACTATATCAGACAATATTCTGTTGGGATCCATAGGTTTTCATTAGCTAATTTTCAGAAGTATGTCACCAGGCCTTTCTTCCTAGTCTGTCTTAGTCTGGAAGCTCTGCTGAAACTGTCTACCATGGGCAACCCTGCTAGAATTTGAAATACTGGTGGCTTAGCTTCCAGCATCACAGTAACATGTAAGCCACTGCAGTATGACAAAGTGCCAGCAAGTCATAGATTTTGGCTAATACCCTTACATTTACTGGGAAGTCTTAAAAGACCTTGGGTGGAAAGAAGTAGTAACAATTAAGAACTTCCTTCTTCTATTATCACTCACACCCTTTCTCTGTGACCCAGGAAGCCCAAGCATGTGGCAACTCCACAGCCACCTGGGCAAGGCTGCCCCTCCAAGGTTTCCTTCTTAAGCAGACCCTCCTGAGCATGCCATTAGGTCTTGCTCAAGGTCTTGACCAATTGCTTTATGGCAGCAACTGAGAATAGAAATGATGAGTGGTGTTGAGGCATTGACATTGGATACGGAGCTGTGATCTGTGTCATCACATTCAACGTTCATCACCTCAAATGAGATAGGTGCTGGTTTAGTCATTTTTTTACAAATGAGGAAGTTGAGATTGAGAGCAAGAATCATCCTGACTCACACACTCAGCAAGTGCAACCTTAGCTTCAAACAAAGCCAGCCCAGCTCCAAAGCCTACCCTTTACTCCTTCCCAGCCCCAGCGCTTCATTTGATGTTTTTGGCCAGGAGAAATTCTTTGTTAAATGGAACAAAATTGTAACATTTCAATCAAGTTTCCAAGAAAGTTTTAGGGTGTGTTGAACTCTCTTCTACCTTCTTCCTTCACCTTCCTTGATTCTTCTCTTTTCCTTCCTTCCTCCCTTCTTATTTTCCTTCTTTCTTCCTTCTCTTCCTCCCTCCCACCCTCCTCCTTCCCTCCTTTCTTTCTTCCATCTGTCCTTCCTTCCTTTTCTCCTCTCTCCCTTCTCCCCTCCCTCCCTCCCTTCCTTCTTCCCTCCATCCCTTCCATCTGTCCTTCCTTTCTTCTTCCCTCCATCCCTCCTTCCTTCTCATTCTTTACTCCACACCACTTATATAGCACTTACTATGTTTGACTGCTAACCAGAAAGCTGGTGGTTCAAACCCACCAGCCATTCCTCAGAAGGAAGACTGGGCAATCTACTTCTGCAGAGATACTGCCTCAGAAACCCAAGGAGGGGTTGCTCTGAGTCGGAACCGACTTGATGGTAGTGAATTGTTTTTTTTTTTTTTTTTGGTAAAGAAACCCCAGAGGCAGAAAATGTAAGTAATACTTAAATGTACCATGGGTTATGAAAGAGATCATTCAAATGTGTTACTTTTTCAGTCTTTCTTTCTCATTGTCCAGTTTTGTATGCATATGAAGTGGTTGAAAACACCAAGGCTTGGGTCAGGCACACATCAGTCATCAAAGGGACATCATTTCTTTTTAAGATTTTTAAGAGGATTTTGTGGCAGATTTTCCCATTGCAGTGCAACATTTGATTTCTTGACTCCTGCTTCTATGTGCATTGATTATGGATCCAAATAAAATGAAATCCTTGACAACTTCAATATTTTCTCTGTATATCCTGATGTTGCTTATTCATCTGGTTGAGAGGGGTTTTGATTTCTTTATGTTGAGGTATAATCCACATTGAAGTCTATCTGTAGTTTTTGATCTTCATCAGCAAGTGCTTCAAATTTTCTTCACTTTCTGCAACCGCAGTTGTGTCATTTGCATATTGCAGGATAATGAGCCTTCCTCAAAACCTGATGCCACATCTTCTTCATATAATCCAGCTTCTTGGATTATTTGCTCAGTATACAACCTTGGCACATACTTTTCTTACAACGAACTCTTGGTCCATGTACAGGTTCTAAATGAGCACAACCAGGTTTTCTGGAATTCCCATTCTTTGGAATGTTATTTACAATTTGTTATGATCCACATAGTCAAATGCCTTCTTGTGGTCAAAAAACATAGGTAAATGTCTTTGTGGTAGTCTGTGCTTTCAGTCAGGATCCATATCTGACATTAGCCATGACATCTTTTGTTTCATATCCTCTTCTAAATTGAACTTGAATTTCTGG